CTGTGAGTATCTAGCCCACTGCTCCACTCGACTCTCCTTCTTACGCACCAGTGTAAAGTTTCCAGTGTTATCACACTGCGGACTGGCTGAATCTCTTCCATCAAATAATATGGAATCCTGAAAATTGTATAGTGGTAATTTATAACACAGTAGATAATTATTATTATTATTATTATTATTATTTAACACACTGGCCATTTTCCAATGAGGCAGGGTGGCTCATTCCATCACTATCTTGCCAGAGGAGTACCAATACTACAGTTTAAAAGTGCAACATATCTCCACCCCTCCTTCAGAGTGCAGGCATTGTACACCTCCAGAACTCAAGTCCACCTAACCGGCTTCCTTGAATCCCTGCATACATTTTACTTTGCTCACACTCCAACAGTACGTCGAGTCATAAAAACCACTCACTTCCACTTACTCCTATCTAACACTCACACACATTTGCTGGATATCTAAGCCCCTCACACTTAGATATCTAAGCCCCTCACACACAATTTCCTTTACCCTCTCCCTCCAACCTTTCCTACGATGACCCCTACCCCATCTTCCCTCCACTACAGATTTAAATGCCCTCCAAGTCATCTTATTTTCTTCCATCCTCTCTAAATGTCCAAATCACCTCAACAACCCCTCCTCAGCCCTATGGATAATACTTTTTATTAATCCCACACCTTCTAATCTCCAAGCAACAAATTCTCTGTACAATATTCACACCACACAATGCCCTCAGACACATCATCTCCACTGCCTCCAGCCTCCTCCTTGCAGCAACATTCACCACTCATGTTTCACACCCATATAAGAGCATTGGTACCACTATACTCTCATACATTTCCCTTTTTGCCTCCATGGATAAAGTTCTTTGTCTCTACAGATTCCTCAATGCACCACTCACATTTTTTTCTTCATCAGTTCTATGGTTCACCATGTCATTCATAAGCCCATTTGCTGGCTAGTCCACTCCCAAATATCTGAACACATTCACTTCCTCCATATTCCCTCCTTCCAATCTGATATCCAATCTTTCACTGCCTATTTTTTTTTTGTTATTCCTCATCACTTTGCTCTTTCCTATATTCACTTTTAATTTCCTTCTTTTACATACCCTTCCAAATTTGGGATTAAGGTTTGAACCTGTGACTCCAATTTCTGGATCAAGTCATTTATGAGCATAAACATACAATACCTACTTTGAAGGGCATAATATATAATCATTCTGGAAATACAGAAAATGACAAAAATATTGCTTGTGTTTAAAGTTTCACTTTGTCTATGGTCATTACGCTGACATAACACAACACACACTAATGATTTTTCCAGAAGTTCCCCCACATCACAGTGCAAAAAAGTGACCCTATTTCAATTCCATTTGGAAAATTTAACTTTCCATTTTTGGAAGAAATTTTTAAATTGAGATACAAAAGTGACATTTAACCCTGTCACTGTTGGTTACATAAATCTACATTATTAAATATATTTCTTATGAGGCAGTGTTTTTGACGTATTAATATGCCAAAATTCGAGCGACTTCAAATCAAGCGAGGGAAAGTTGGTAGGCCCACATGTGAGAGAATGGGTCTGTGTGGTCAGTGTGCACAGTCTAAAAAATCCTGCAACACACAGTGCATAATGATAAAAAAAAAACTGACCGCATTTTTGGATTAAAATGCCGACTTTGAGGTGTATTGTCATATAATATTTACGGTTGTATTCTCGTTTTCTTGGTCTCATTTGATAGAATGGAAGACATATTACAGAACTAGAGATGATTTTGATTGGTTTCACAATTAAAAGAATCTTGAAATTGAGCTCAAAAAAGCGGAAACATTCAATTTTTGCCGATTTTCAATATGTGTTCAACTAGCCATTCTAATACACAGCTATGAATGGGTTGACACTATTTATACAATTATTAAAATAATGCAGTAGTCTGCATAACAGTAAATCTTCTATTTTTTGTGTGAATAAAAATTCTAAATAGAAAGCAAGAGTAATACAAGAGCGGCCTGGAGATGTGACTAATGAACAGAGAAAGTGTTATTTTAGTGCCAGGAATGTCTGCATTGTTTATTCTAGACCCTATTTTGAAATTGGCATGTTTTTTAATTTGTGTGAAATTGCCCAAATTGCCAATTTCTGGTGGTTTCTTGTACCCAATCAATAAAAAAAATGGAGTTCTAAAGAAATAGCTATGAGTTTGGTTGACTGGAACAATGGAAGAGGCAGAAAATAGGGCTCAAAGTGGGTGAAATTGCTGATGCGTATATGTCACCAAGATCATTAACTTTGCGAGAACGTAATTCTACAAGTTTTCCATCAAATTTTGTACTTTTGGTGTCATTACCATCAGGAAAAGATTATCATTTTATAAGAAATAATCATTTTTTATTTTCGAATATTTTGCGACACAGAGAGACACTTCAGGATTTGTGGTCTCGACAGTCAAAGGGTTAATGCCAGGGTCCCTCAGGATTATCTATATCTTGAGCTCAGCTCCCTCAGATAAGCTGAGAGCGATAAATTTTGGCCTAGATATGAGAGAATGGATCTGTGCTGTGCACAGTACAGTACAGTAGGACCCTGCTTTACGGCATTTTGTTTTACGGCATTCCATTAATATGACAATTTCAAATTATGACCAAAACTCTCTATATGGCTCCCTGTCTAGTACGGCATGCGCCACCTGGTTTTTTTACATTCTCCGAGAACAACATGTCTCTCCATTATATTTGGAAACTTTACACAATCTCAAGTGTTTTAAAGTTATTTCATATTTTATATATACTCTGATAATTATACTTATGTATACCTATACCTAAGTAAATTTACACACTGTGCTGGTACACATTAAAATCATTATGAGTGTCTTATTAGTATTGAGGATGCCATATTAATAATGATAACAATAATAACACAATAATAATCACTCCGAGGAGCATTAAATGTCGTATAAAACTTTAGTACAGTTGACCCCCGGTTATTGTAATTAATCCTTTCCTGGAGAGCAACTAAACCCGAATCTGATGATTTCCGAATTAATTTTCCCCATAAGAAATAATGTAAATCCAATTAATCCATTCCAGACACCCAAAAGTATTAAAAATAAATAATTTTTTTTACATGAAATATACATTTACCTACACAGAAAACAAAGAGACATGCAGAAGAAAACAATAAAATGACACTTACCTTTACTGAAGACTTGTTGATGAGTGCTGAGACAGGAGGAACTGAGAGGCTGGAGATGTACTATTGTTTGGAAGGGAAATCCCCCTCCATAATGACTTCTGGTATCAAGTCCCTTTCTGGGGTTACTTCCTTTCTTTGTTTTTTAATGCCACTAGGACCAGCTTGAGAGTCACTGGACCCTTGTCGCTCATAAAAGTGTTCCAGAGTGGTCTGTATCTGGCGTTTCTTTATAACTTCCCTAAAATGGGAAACAACACTGTCATTGTACATGTTGCCAACACAGCCTGCAGCAGCTTTGTCAGGGTGATGTTCATCCATAAATGTTTGCACCTAACTCCACTTTGCACAAATGTTCTTCATCATTGAAGAAAGCGCCTTCCTCCATATTTCTTCCTCCTCCTCTGAAGCAATTTCCTGAGCTGTGGTCTGTTGCTGTTGCAGATGAAGGCCTTGCAGCTCTTCAATGGTTAGGTTTTCATTGTGGTCCTCCACCAATTCTTCCACATCCTCACCACTCACATCCAACCCCATGGAAGTCCCCAATGCCACAATACTTTGCACAACTGCCATAGGCTCATCAGGGTCAGCCTCAATGAAAAAAAATGGTATAAAATACCGACACAATGGAAACAAACACATATGCAGTTTAATGTGATCCTTTATTGACAACGTTTCACCCACACAGTGGGCTTTTTCAAGTCACAAACAGATCTACCTGGGGTGGAAGGTACGTGAGTATTTATAGTCAGGTTCAGAATGTTGAGGTCAGGTGGAGCATCAGATGCAGCATTCTCCACCTGACCTCGACATTCTGAACCTGACTATAAATACTCACATACCTTCCACCCCAGGTAGATCTGTTTGTGGCTTGAAAAAGCCCACTGTGTGGGCGAAACATTGTCAATAAAGGATCACATTAAACTGCATATGTGTTTATGTTTCCAGGGTCAGCCTCAAACCCTTCATTCTGGCCACAATTTTCTCCAAGCAGAGTTCAAAGTCCTGAAAGTCACTCCCTCCCAAGCCTTACCTATAAGTTTTATGCAGTGGAGGATACTGAAGTGATCTCTCCAAAACTCTCTTAGGGTCAAGTGAGTGTCTGAGGTCACATCAAGGCACCTTTGAAACACTGCTCTGGTGTACAGTTTTTTGAAGTTCGAAATGATCTGCTGGTCCATGGGCTGGATGAGAAGAGTGGTATTAGGGGGCAAGACCTTCACTGTGAAGAAACAAAACTCCTTCACCATTTGCTCTTCCAATTCTGGAGGATGAGCAGGTGCATTGTCCATTACCAGAAGGCACTTGAGTTTCAATTTATTTTCCAGAAGATATTTCTTCACACTGGAGCCAAATACATCATTAAACTAATCAAGGAAAATGTCCCTCGTGACCCATGCCTTACTGTTTGCCTTCCACGTCACACACAATTTACTCTTGGCAACACTGTTTTTCTTGAACACTCTGGGACTTTCAGAGTGACGCACCAGTAAAGGCTTCACTTTGAAATCCTCACTAGCATTACTACAGAACATGAGTTAGCCTGTCTTTCATAGGCTTGTGTCCTGGGAGTGCCTGTTCCTCCTGAATGATGTAGGTCCTCTTTGGCATTTTCTTCCAAAAGAGGTCTGTTTTGTCACAATTAAACACTTGTTGGGATTTGAATTGTTCAGCCTCTATGTATCCCTTGAATTCCTGAACATATTTTTAAGCAGCATATTTGTTAGAACTTGCAGCCACGCCATGCCTTACCACACTGTGTATGCCACTATGCTTCTTAAATCTCTCAAACCAGCCTTTGCTGGCCTTAAATTCACTAACATCAGCACTAGTTCCAGGCATTTTCTTTACAAGATCCACATGCAACTGCCTTGCCTTTTCACAAATTTATTTTTTTTTTATTTTATTATCACACTGGCCGATTC